GGGCGTGAAGGGGAGGAGTCGCGGGTGGGGGGCGAAGCCCGCCATGTCGATGGCGAAAGGTCGATGGGGGTCGAACACCGTCTTCCAGCCGTAGACCTTTCCAGCTGCGTTGACCTTGGGGGACTCGTACCGCAGGCCGCCCACGAAGGCCACGGGCCACACTGAAACTTTCCTGGTTGATCTCATCTGGTGAGCGCAGAGGGGAGAAGAGAAATGAGGGAGGCGAGGGGGAAGATAAGTCAAGTGGAAGAAAAAAAAAAAGTCTACATGACAGTGAGACACTGTCAGGCATCAGCTGCCACCGCCTGGACACAGGCTTCTTAGAGCTGCTGCTATTATTCATTTTGAAAGATGGCGAATATTGACTGAGCCACCGGGCCATGGAGCTGAATCACTGCCTTCACCTCGGCTACACACACACACACACACACAAACGTAGACCATTAAACAGCTGCTCCACCATCAGATAATTGTCCTCGACTGTCTTTAAAGGGCACAAACACGGACATTTCCGAGAAAGGAGCAGAGAAAGGAGCTTCCTGATTGGCTGAGATGTTTCTCCAAGGAGCGCTCTTCTCTGCTGCTGTTTCTTTTTTCTCTGCTTGGTTCTTTTATCTCCCAGCATCAAACAGCCCTGCTGCACTTCCCTTTGTCTGCTCCTCACTGAGGGCCATTTGGAAGATCCTCTCCTCTTATGAAAGGTAAGTCTGATAATGAGACGGAAAGGGGGAGATTTACAACCGTCGGTCATTTAACTGAATTCAGTGGAAAACAAATAATGATGATAATGATTTTTTTTTTTTTTCAGGTGGACGGTCGCTTTCAGAATAACGCTCTGTGCTGAGACTGGTACTGTCCAGAGCAGGGGATCAAACACGTCTTGGTTTAGGGGCCACATGCGACCCAATTATATGTGAAGTGGGTCAGAACAGTCGTAACATAATTACCATAAATAACAATCAGTACTTGTTTTCCCTCCTTATTTTCCTGCAAATACGTAAAGGTGCATTAGAAAATATTCATATTTATTGAAATATAATTTGACAAAACAATTTTTTCCACACGAAAAACTCATCAGGCCAAATTGAACCCCCTTAGTGAGCCGGTTTTGGCCCACGGGCCGTATGTTTGGCACCCCTGCTCTAGAGCATTGTTTCCCAAAGACTGGGTCGCGACCTTCAGGTGGGTCGCAAGAGATTTATTTTGGGTCGTCTTGCGTCTCCCAAGAGTTTACAATAATGTCTAAGTTTTGTGACTTTTTTCGATATGGATTCTCAGGAAAAATGTTTTGGAAACACCGGTGTCCAGAGTTCACAGAGAGCGCCTGGTACCGTTCCAGCTCGTTAGCTTGTTAGTCTTTGTTTTTTTTGTTCCATAGAAGATTTTTTCGGCAAATGAAATGCCAATAACCGGCTCATTCTGGAGCTGCTGTGTTGACGGGTGTGTGATGCGATAAGCCGTCCTCTGGTCACTTCAGAGGATCAGAGGACGGCTGGGGTTAAACAGCTCGGAGCAGCTGCCACTGCTGGGTGAATCAGTAGATCTGGGCATTAGTGGGAGCTGCTGTGTGGAGCGTCCAGATAAGACACCGGGTCTTAATGAGGCCCGGGTGTTAAGACAGATCAAGTACCGGCTCCATGATAGTTTAGCTCCACATTCCCTCTTCTACTCTGTACTTTTATCACCAACTACTGCCTCGTTTTTCTGGCCAGGTTTTACTTCATCCAAACTCATCACCAGTTCATGCCAACGCCATCCACGCTCGCCGCCACTCGCCGCAGACAGAAGTGTGACGGGATTCAAAAGGCAACATCAATCAGGCCTTTGACAGGAAACGCCAAACAGACTTGTCAATTTCTTGTCTGTACTGAAATGTGAGACTCATCGCTCTCTGTTTACTTCCTGTGGGGAGAGCGCCATCTTGAGGAGAGCAGTTAAAAAATTAATCTGTTCTGATTTTCTACCAAAATAGCAGACAACAAGGTTGGAGTCAGAGTCCGATCAAATACTGGAGCCATGAACGCTTCACATTCTTCTCTTCAAATTACATAAAATAAATGATTTATTCATTTAAGGATGAATTAATAAAGACATAAATAATGATAAATGAACTGTTTAGTTCTTTTCAGGGTCGAGGCTTTGGAGCCAATCACAGTCCGGAAAGGTTTGCCATTTCATCTGGAGACTAACAACCACCTCCACTTACCCACAAACCTTTGTCCAAAAACAAATATAATCATAATTAATAATTTGGATTTTAAAAAGGACTGAGGAAGATCCTGGAGGAGAACATCCACACCGACACCAGAGAGAACAACTCCCTACAGACCATCTGTTAGCCATGGACTTGAACCATTGACCCTGTTGCAGTAAGGCAAACACACGAAACACTATTTCATAAGTCATCTACTGTGAATCGTAAAGCACTGCTGCAGATCGTGTGAAGACAAATCACAAATGTTGACAGTTTAAATCTGTGTCTTCCTGCGTGGACAGATCTGTGATTGTTCGCCCCTGATTTAGCTCTGATTTGACAGTGAGAGAAGGAAACCGCTGCTGTTGGCGGGCGGAATGAAAGAGACGCTGAGCGCTCGCAGCCAACCGCTCGTGTCAACCTATATAAGTGATCACAGGCTGCGCGCCGTCTCCCTCAGCTCAGAATCACAGACGTATCCTGCTTTAGATTAACCAGGACAAAATAATAAGGTTATTTTTAGCACGCCGAGATCAGGCGCGACGCTCTCCTCTCCTCTCCTTCTTTTCACACTTTTTTTTTTCAAACTTTCTGTTATCTCGCTGTGAAAATGTGAGCGCCCATAAATCTATCCACACATAAGCAAATTATTTTCCATCTGCCGTCCACTTCCTGTCCATGTGGCTGTCAAGTTCTTTTTTTCCTCATTCTCCTCCTACCCTATCTCCCTCTCTCTACCTCCCCTCTCCGCCCCGCGCTCTCACTCTCCCCCCCTCTCCATCTTGCTCTCACCCCCTCAGGGCCATTTCTCTGACCCATAAATAGGCTGTTGGAAGTGATGGAGGGCCTCGCGGGGAGACGGAGCACTTCAGCTGATTCCCACAGAAAGGTAATGACAGGCCCCGTCAATACTGGGCTCTCCATTTACTCCACACCCTGTCTGCACTGCTAACAAGACTGCAGGCTAATACGCCGAGCAGTCGGAGCGTGTCCTCGCAGGTAATTCCACTGATGTGGAGATGGATGGCCTGAAAAGTACTGATTATGTGCCCAAACTTCAGCTCGCGGCTTCAACCCACTGACTCGGCTTGTTAGGAGCTAAAAAATGCCCCGATTTATTTTTTCCACAGGATTTATTTTTCTTACCCTCTCGGATATAATTTGTCCGTAAACACACAGCGCAGGGAAACGGCCAAACTCTCCAATTTGTGTGCGTTTTAATTTGAAATGCATGTGTAAAGAGAGAAGATTTTCCTTTTTTTTTTTTTTTTTTGCAAATGTTGGCTGCACAATCCTGTTTTCCAAGTCTCGTTAGGGAACAGTCCAAGGATGATGAAGTTACTCACTGTGTGTGCGTGACACGTTCTTTTTAAAGGGCAACAATTAAACTGGTGGTCACCAAAAGTCACTGGACGTGAGGTGAAATCACGCAGCAGTTATAAACTTAATATTTTCATTTCAAAAATTTTAATTTTGTATCTCCATCCACAAAAAGACAGCTTTACCTTCACACATAGGGGGCAGCGTAGGAAGCAATGGGCTGGGAGACCAACTGAGCTAAAGAAAAAAAGAGCTTTTCTCGATGACAGCCTTTTAGCACAAGTTTAGTTGGCATGGAGATGACAGCTTCAGGTGGCTCACAGCCCAGAATCTGAGAGCCATTGATGTATAAGATAATTATTATATGCTTATAATTTAAATACTGGGGTTTTTTTTTCTCTAGTTCTGATCTTGGTTCGATCTCCTTTGAAGGAGAGTCTCTCCATCTCATGGAATCAGCCTGGTTAGGTAAGGGTTAATAATAAAACAACAAAAGAAAAACCCCCAGTGGTTAGTTCATGTACTGCTCTCTCTCTCTCTCTCTCTCTCTCAGAGCTGTATGTTTTTACCTTTGCCACTTAATGAAGGTTTATTTGCATTAGTAAATTAAAGACTTTAATGTTATTGCACTGCATTGGAGTGACTCTGCTGGTGCTCCTGAAAACAGTTCCACAGGGACTAAATCCTGTGGTTGGTAAATGAACCGTGATGAATGAAGATTAAACAATATTTTTACTGAAAGGGATCAATAATGTTTTTCTAATCTAATCTAATCGAATCTAATCGAATCTAATCTGATCTGATCTGATCTGATCTGATCTGATCTAATCCAAACCAACCTAATCCAATCCAATCTAATTTAATCTAATCTTAACCAATCTAATCTCATTTCTAATCTAATCTGATCTGATCTGACCTGATCTGATCTGATCTAATATAATCCAAACCAACCTAATCCAATCGGATCTAATTTAATCTAATCTTAACCAATCTAATCTAATTCAAACTGATCTAATCTAATCTAATCTAATCCAAACTGATCTAATCCAATCAAATCCAAACTAATCTAATATCTATCTAATCTGATCTAATTCAATTCACTTCAATCCAATCCAAGACTTAACACTGACGTAGTTGTTGAGGTAGCTGTTGACGTAGTTTGTCAGCACTCACCTCTTCGAACAGCTCCAGGCTGTAGGTGTTGTCGTCGTCAGCAAAGTAAACGATTCCCGCCTGGCTGCTGTTGGGGTTGAAGGTCTCCCTCAGCCACCTCAGGGCCAGGTTTCTCTGCATGGTCCCTCGAGGGATTCTGGGGTCGCGGGTGTCACCCCGCAGCTTATAGTTCCTGGGCGTCTCTACATTGAGGTGGGTGTAGTTCAGCCCCGTCTCCCGCAGGAGGCGCGTGACCAGAGGCGTTCTCCTCTGAGAGTCCTCCACCAGGATCCAGTGCAGGTTGGGGACATGGAGGAAGGTGTTGGCCAGACGCGTCAGCTCGGCCTTCTGGACTGGCCTGCTGTAGGTGGGGGTGATGATGTGGATGGTGGGCAGCACGTCGGACCAGGGCGGGGGCCGCGTGTAGACGTACTCCGTCCTCACCACCTCCACTATGTCCTTATCTGAGGCACAGTATTCTTTGGAGTCCTGCGCCTGACCACCCGTCTCCCTCTTGCCCTCTACGCCGCCATCTGCAGATTTGGAGATAAACGACATGCGAGGCGTTAGTGCAAACGTGCGCCGCACCGTGTATTTGCCTCAGGTGACTTAGACCCAGTGGGGGTAAAGTGTACCTGAGAGCCGGTGCTGGCGGACCGCAAGCCTCTCTGGAAAGATAAAGATCTCTTTTACTAGGTGGTGACAGGCTGCAAAAAGTGAGAGCAAGCGCCGTGAGAGGATAACACAGCTTTGGACAGAGAGACAGAACAAGACGCAGGACGTGTGAGGAGACGTCAGGAAAACCTGTGGCTCCTGTGGGTGTGCTCTGGTTCTTACGTCTACGATATTACCCGATATTAGCAGAATTATGTAACATCTGTAAGAATCGTTATCGGTTTTTCCTCTGATACTGAAAACCCAGTAAGAATCGTTATCGGTTTTTTCTCCAATACTGAAAACCCAAAAACTAAATGCCTGAGTTTCGCCAAATTATATTTGACCTAAAAATCGATTTGGGGAAAAACAGATGTATATGAAAGTGAAAGTCACTAGATGGCAGCATTGCAGCTCTTTTTTTTTGGATATTGGAATCAGAGATTAAGTACATGGACAATATCAGCAATTTGAATATCGGCAAAAAGTAAATATCGGACGTCCCTGTTCTCCCACAGACTCCCTTCGTCCTCTGCTGCTCCAACAAAACGCTCTTTCACTACGAAGCACCGACAGATTTAAGAAAAAAAAAATCAGCTAAGACTCAAAATGTTTTCCTAGTGAAAAGCCCGGTTCTGTGAGGTCAGACTGTGGTGCCGGTCCAAGAACATCACGTAAAGTTCTTCAAGTTCACACCCTAAGTGTCGGGCAGCCGTGCAGGTAATAAAGAGAGAAAAATGAACAGCAGCACCTGTGGACACAGTGACAGTAATGACACAGTGTCCTCGGCTGCACCTGTGCTGCTGCTGCTGCTGCTTCATGGTCATGAAACCATAGACAGTTTAAGTGGACACTTGGACACTTGGACACTTGGACCAATTCAACCTTTCATTAGTGAAACAGGAAATGACTGAGCTCGGTTAAACTGACATCACGTTCAAAGTTACTGGTCAAAGTAACTGAAAGGAACCAGAACTGTTTATACTGGCAGTGACAGAAGCACACAGGAAAAAAACAAAAATAAATAAAAAATAGGACAGGGCTCAGGATGAAGATAAACAAATAACGATCCAGGTTGACAACCTAAAATTTCAACTGTGTGTGTAATTAATGAATTCATGTTAATTAATGTTCAACCCATTTTTGGCATCTAAAATGTTCTGGAAATCCTGGGAAATCAACTGGATAATTAAAGGTTTCTGGTGCCACATATTTTTCTAAAATAATAATATTTTCTTCTGCATTTTTTCAAAAAATGCAGACGCAAACAGCCAACATTCATTCATGTTTATTTTTGTATTTTAAAATTTTTAAAATTTTGTAATTTTTAAATTAATGACATCTGTTTTTCTGTTGTTTTTTTTTCTTCAATAAACATTTAGATAGTAGTAAAAAGGATTTCCCAGACTGAGTCACAGTGACTGAGGAGGACGCCCTCTTGTTGTCTGTACCTGAAGTACGCCGTCTACAGTGGAGAGGCCACTTCAGCTGGGACAGCACGAGTCAAGTGCACGGCCGTTCACTACTCACCCTTGTGGATGGCGAGTAGCGGAGCGATCGCACTTTGGTGCCAAACGGTGATGAGCAGAGTCCAGGGTAACACGATCAACACGATGGCAAGAATATCTCTTCTCTTCGGCATCTCCAGGATTGGTTATTTGGCTCGGCATTACCTGGAGGAGGAGACGATTACACCTGGAAATCAACAACAACCGCTCCAGGTACAATCGAGCGCAGACTGTCTTCTACCTGAGTGTCAGTCAGTGGTTTTATTCTTGTTGTTGTCTGTGTTGCTGATGAGGCAGCAGTGAAAAATAATCATTTATCAATTTGTTCATTTATTTTCCTTCCAAGACTTTTTTTAAAAAATTCATTTATTTTCCTTCCAAGACTTTTTTAAAAAAAGCTAAAAAAGAGACTATCTTCTACCTGAGTGTCAGTCAGTGGTTTTATTCTTGTTGTTGTCTGTGTTGCTGATGAGGCAGCAGTGAAAAATAATCATTTATCAATTTGTTCATTTATTTTCCTTCCAAGACTTTTTTTAAAAAATACTTGTTTTTTAAATTTGATTTTAGAAGTCTGACGTCCTTTCTAAATATCCCGGGTTTAAACCCTGCATCGCCGTGACATCACTGCAGTTATATTTAAACACTGGCTCTTTGTGACCACTTCACTGTCCCTGGTCTACTGAATACTCCTGGAGTACTGCAGTTTCACCACTCACCCACAGTCAGAACTGCATCTTAGGTCTGGGTCGTTCGGTGGAGGAGCTTCATCGGAGCGGTTTCCGCCGTAACACGTCAGTTCTGCTGCCCATTTTGTTTTATTACTGCTCCTTCTGCACGGGCTTTAGTCACAGATCCAAACCTGGGAGACAAGAAAAAAAAACACTTTTAACGTTGAGGTATTATTCATAATAGTACTCATTATTTTTGAATTATTTCTCAAGTACTTCTCCACTTCAAAATACCCAGAATCCTTAATTGGCGTTATGTTGCTCGTAACAAAATCTAACAGGGACTCGGGGTCAGGGGTCAACAACTCTGTTTGACAGATTTATTTTTTCTGATCACACACCTTGTGTGTCATAAAATGAAATAAAAATCAAATTTTTTCCTGACGTTTGATGTTCATTTTACAGGCCGGATTGGACGGTTCGGTGGGCTTGATTTAGGCCGTGGGCTAAACAACTGTATATTAAAGTGAAAGCCGCTAGAGGGCAGCATTGCAGCTCATTTTATATAATCAGGGAATCGTATGCAGAATCCTGTTGCCAACAACTCACACAGAGGTTTGTTCAGATAAATGAATAAATATTATCAGTCTATCGGTTGATATCAGAACCGGTGATTAAATGTTTAGACAACGAGGGGATTTTGGATCTCAGCAAAAAGTTAATATTGGACATCCCTCGTCATAATCCAATTTTAATGAATGGAAAATTGGCCAAAACACCGACCTGAAAACTCATCAGGAGTCTGGTAGCAGGTGAAAAAAATAAACTGATGTGATTGTGACTTTAGAGAATGTCTGAGCGGACATGACGTCCAAACACGGAGGTAATCTGTGCCGTCTGGACGTGATTTCAGCTCTTTGTTACAGAAGAATCGTATGAATAACAAATATTCATTTATAAATGGGGAGTAAACAGCAGGAGTCCCGGAATCTTCTTTTTTTTTCCTCTGGCAAATCACTGGCAAATTGTCTGTGACCTGGTAATTCAGTCGGAGGCGGCTGTGCGTCAAATGTTCAAAATTTCAGAACAATCTATTTCGGGATTGCCTCGACCGGTTTTCCAAATCTCACAAAGGAGCGTCACGCCACTGAAGGGGTTGAAATCAGCGGGAGTGGGAGCGAGGAGTAAACCCATGATTCTCACAGGCTGTGCACGATGAGATTTAAAAGCTCTACAGAGTACTAATGTGCTCCACAGCGGGCCATAACTACACCACACTATTAATAGCGCCGTATAGGACCATCTACATCCGCTGTGACAGACTCAGATACAACATCATACGCTTCCATGTCTACACAATATGACCACATGATGTCCAACACAGATGGTGGCTCGAACCGTGAAGGGGGGGGGGGGGGGGGGGGGGGTGAGCGGGGGAGGAGTGTTTTTTTATGATAGTGAAGAGTAAGAACTGAAGCGACGGAAAAAAACACACATACAGTCGTGTTGATGTTTGTTTACAATGATGTCAAACCACAGTACATTCATTAAAAAATATACTTGGTATATTTGTATTTTCTCATGTGTGATAACAATACAGCAGAGGGGGGTCAAACCACAGGGCTGTTAAATGGAAGACTGTATATCTGTAACGACTCCATCAATAATTATTATTTATTCAAGTTAGAAAAATTGTTCATATTTGTTCCTGCGGGCCAAACAAAATGACTCGTTGGGCCGTATTTGGCCCCCAGGCCTTGAGTTTGACACCTGCTACACTTCTCCGTATAAAATGCAAATGGTAGAAAACATTTTTAAAACCATATGGTGCACATATGGAAACGCTGCCCCTCCCAGGGGAATCTGATGTACTACAGGAAATGAAGCAACGTTGATCAAATGTTAGACCAAAAAGTCTTTGGATTTGAGCTCCATTTTTGGACAGACGTCAGCCTCATTTTTCTTCTTCTTTTTGGAAAACCCCATTTCCTTTTTTAATCAGATTTACAGCTCAGTTTTTTTGTCCTCTGTATGGGGGCCTGTGATTGGCTGGTGAACCGTCCAGGGTAAAACCGTCCGGTCGTTGACGACCGTTTGACGGCAGCTCCTTCTAAAGGAAACATCAACAGATGTTTACCCCTTCAGCATCGCGTTAGACGTTGACTGTGGCTCCTTCTCCGCTGCCACCAGGGGGTAAACACAGGGTAACAAAGGGGTAAAAGAAAGCGACAGGTGTGTGAAAAAGGAAGCTGGCTGTGAGGCCTCTCTCCAGCCCACACGGCTGTTTGTGTCTGTGGCTCTTCAACTGGTGACGTGGGGAGAATACGAAAAAAAAAAAAAAATCAGTCGCCGCAGCAGCAGCAGCAGCAGCAGCTAACCATCTGTGGCGCTAACACCTGCTGCTGATTAATAAAGGACGTCAGTGTGTGAGAGGTTTTCGTTGTGCTCATTGTCCCGCTCACATCATTAACCACCGCCACACTGAGGTGACGTGAGGTTCTGAAAACAATATGTCGTCCCTTGGGTTGGACTGTCAGAAAATAACGGTAATTCTACGATAAAAAAAAAACCCCAAAAACAATCTGGTATTTGAATAGAAGTCAGAGTTAAGGGTTTAAAATGTCGTTGATTTTGTCTGTTGTCATAAACGAATGTGACGGATCTTATTATCACAAAGACTTGGATTATTGGGATCAGCCCTTTATTGTACAGTATATGGTGGTGGTTCCATGGTGTAGCGGTTAGTTCAAGCAGTCTTGGGTTCGATTCCCAGAGGAACTTATAGTGGTAACATACTGATGGTTTGAAGAAAACTAAAATAAAAATGATATATATAGTCAGTGCTCCATAAAACTCATTTAATTCCCCATCACTTTTTTTGTGTCACACTGAGGTTCTGACTGTTAATAAAACAGTTTCACCAACAAGTTTATTCTAAAGACGCTACTAAATATGATACTACAATTATCAGGATCTTCACAGGTATTTTTAGTTTTTTTTTTCTGGGTAAGGATTAGTAAATCTTTACGACTGAGAACACAGGACGACACACTCACCCTTCTCCCCCCTCTGCCCCCTCTGCCCCCCGACTCCTTATCTCTATTTGAGTTTTACAGCTGAGTCTGTAAAAAATGACACAGCAGTAAATCTCCGACTCTGTGAGTGAGTCTGATCTTCCTTCATCTTCACCGTCTCCTGTTTCACAGACACCGATAAAAACAACAACAACATCGACATCGTCCTGGCTCCCTCATCGTGATGTCAGCAGGTTCTCTGGAGATGAAAAGTCAGCACCTACGTCCAGGACTCCACACTTGCCACACTTGTTTTAATGAGTCCACAGGTGAGGAGATGGGTGAGGAGATGGGTGAGGAGATGGGTGAAGAGGGGTTTAGTGGAATCCATGTCGACAGTTTGCTGCTGCGACCTTTTCATCCTCAGACCTTCCCTCATTTCAACACTTCTTGTTTTAATTTGACTAAATCACAAACTTGTAAAGATTCTGTTCCCTTGAACGGGATTTAAATTCCGCCTCAGTAGCGTTTTCACTGAGGCTGTAAAGGCGTCGGAGGAGGGACGGTGTCCTGACGTGGAGAATCTTTTATAGGCAGACGTTCTAAAGGTGGCAGATCATTAGGAACGTCAAGATTAATTCAACTTTACAAGTGCCATAAAGAGCGGAACGAAATTAAGCAGATTATTACTGGCAACACTGAGGCAACACTGAGGCAACACGGAGGCAACACGGAGGCAACACGGAGGCAACTGTGGCTGAATGAATTAGGACAATTAGTCGGCCAGAGATTAGCTGAAAGACACAGATTAAAGACACAATTTGTCCTCCTGCTAACACCTATTAGTCTTCACGACTGCAGAGGAGCAGGACCTGGTCTGACAAACTGACCAACTCCACACAGAAAAACCATCAGGACTCGAACCGGTGCCCTTCTCTCTGTAAGGCAAAGGCCAAAACCACTTTTTCATTCATGTGGTTTCCAAAACTAAAATGAATAAAGTACAATATGTGACACTGAAGATTATTTGGTTAAATGTGGAAAACTTTTTCAGTGACGCGACGCTACACGAGCTAGCCACAGAATAATCGTTAAACAGGAAGTTGTTTATTTGCTGTTGCGGCCAATCACCACTTGAATGCTCTCTTCTTCTTTCCTCCAGCCTGGAGGAACAAACCGACGTGCTCTGTACTTCAGGTTGAGGGTTCAGGGTTGATGGTTTGACGCCACGGTGTTTACTGAAAAGTCGGAAACAGAAAAACAGCTGGGAGGGCGTCCTACATCGCCTTGACTTCGTTCTCAGGGGAACTATTCATATTCAGGGGCGGGGTTGGCGTTAGTCCTGTGACGAGAGCGAGTCGCTTCAAAATTCGATCCTATCCTCGAGAAACCAGTGCCCGCGGCGAGGCTAGCTAACAATAGCAGAGAGACAAAACCCAGCCGCCCTATAAAATGCTGAGGCTAGGTGTGAGAGCGATGACAACGACGCCGCGCTACTTCATCAACATTTGTCTTAAATCACGAGATAGAAA